ACCCTCCAATCTGATAATACACTCTAAATCCAAAAACATTAGAAGAAAAATAAATAGAAACCTAAACATCCAAATTAAGACCTGTTTGGTAATGTTTTTGTTTTCCAAATTAAGACCTGCCGCATTTACTGGAGGCAGACAGATGAGGTTGGAAACTTGATAGAAGAGTAGAAATAAGGCTTGAGAAGAAAGATGAGAAATGACACATGACCCTTGCACTTGGAACCTTCAATAAATCACTTAGTGCTGGAAATAGTGGAAACATGCTAGCATCTATAAAGCTGACCAAAACATTTCTGAAAGATGAGAAATGACACAAGACCCTTGCACTTGGAACCTTCAATAAATCACTTAGTGCTGGAAATAGTGGAAACATGCTAGCATCTATAAAGCTGACCAAAACATTTCTACAAAATATGAAAATCTGTACCATTGGGGCTGGCTTCTTGAAGGGTTTTTTCACTTGGTTCAAAAAGGTAAGATGTTATGGTCCCAAACTTGAAATCTGTTGTTTAAATTTCGAAAGGTGATATCTTCAGTTTCTTGTCTTCTAACTAGCTAAACTTACTGGGTGTATATGCCGAAACATTTTCCCACAGTAATACATATTGTTAAAAAGTTTAAGCTGTCATAAAAGTCATTTTAACTATGGAAAAACATGTCCGCTTGTTATTTCAGCATGTGAGTCCCTCAGAAGGAAAAACTAATGTTTTCACTCTGGTCTGGACTCAAGGGGTGCAAGCGTAGGTTTTTTTAAAGTTGAGGGTATGTTTTTTAACATGCATTTTCCCCTTTCTTTTTTATTTTTCTTTTGAAAACATATATATATAAATATATGTTTCATGTTTTCTGTAAATAGTTAATAGAAAACTGGCAACGTAACCAAATGCTACCTTAAACTTCACAAGTAAGATGACTTAAGGCAGTGTTCGAGGCATGGGAAGATGAGAGCACAAGGCGTGTCTGGGCAGAGTTTTCTTCAGTGAACAATATTTGGAATTAACCCTGATGTGTACAGGGTGATTTTGATGTTATCAAACACCTGGAAGAACGGAAAGGATGTCTTTCACTCATGCTATGACAAAATTCTCAAATATCATTGTAGCAGAGCTGCTTCTGGACTTCCTTGGAGGGTGGGAGCTGTGAATTGTTTAAGTGTTGTTCACGAAGCTACAAAGGTGGTCTTTTACCACTTCTTTGAGTATGGGTCTTTTAAGAGGAGTTTCATTGCGTCATTTGTTGCTCTTATTCCTAAAATTGAGGGAAAGAACATTAAGGATTTTAGACCTATTAGTTTGGCAGGAAGCGTTTATAAAATCATTTCCAAAGTCTTTATACTCATCTCTTCCCCCCACCCTCTTCTCTTAGTCTAATCTAGAATAGGTATTTCCAATGTCAAATAAGTCATCACATTGAGATTGAAGATGGTGATTGGCAGGAAGATGTCAAAGAATTAGAATGTTTTCCCCAGAGGCACGAGGATTTTGGATGCAGTGGTAGCAATGTTTTGGGTATTTATGCAAGTTGTATATATATGTGTGGGTGGGTGGGTGGATGGGTGTGTCTCCAGTAGCAAAACTCAATTGTAGGAAAATTGGATATAAAAAAACTGTTGGGGTTTTCTATTTCATTTGATGTAGACTATGAAGCACCGACATTTCAAAATAGGTGTCATAATTGTGTTGGAGACATATGTTAGAGACAACACGCCACAGTGGCCCTTCAATTTTTTTAATAACTTTTTTTCATTGGACACACGCTTTGGGAGACAACAAGGTCTTATTTTAATTTTCCAAAGCAAATTTCGAGGGTCTTATTATAATATTTGAAAACGTGATGCATGGATTTAATAAATATCAAACCATCAACAATGTAACAAAGATCTAACAACAATTGTGAAATTGAGAGACCGGCTTCTAACGATCCTTAAAGGCCTAAACAACGCATCTAATCCATGGATGATCTAAATTTGGTGTGTTTTTTATGTTAAATTAATGCTAGTTTTCATGAATTTTGGTTGTTTATAAATGTAATATTCACATACGTAAAAATTAAGATATATATAAATAAATAAATAAATAATTGTAGTATCCTTGCCATGTCCGTGTCTTGGTTTTTTAATAATCGCCTTGTTATGTGTTTGCACCGTGTCCTAGTCCATATATGAGCTTCATAGGATGCAGTAGGAGTGGACAACGGTTTATCTGATCCGCAAAAACTGCCCAACCCGCCCAACCCGTATACAAATGGACAGTTTCGCAAACACAATGCGAGCGGATGCGGTTTGAAATATGACATTTTTGCGAGTTGCGGGTTTAACCCACACCAGCAAGAAACCGCCCACACTTTTATATATATATATTTTTTTATTTATCTTAACCGTTGATTTCATTCCTATATCTCATCTAGATATTTTTACTCAAAACAAAACATCCTTTATTCTTTGAACTTACTCTAGCATTACATTTGCTAATAGTATTATATCAACTAAAATTGAATAAATACTGATCATATTACTATTGTTACATAACTAAACTTGTTCCGGATGAAATGTGATTTGAAATTTTAAATTCTTTAATGAATATGGAGTTCTAGTTTAGGATTTTAAAATGTGTTTGTGTTAGTTTATTATTTGATTTAAGATTTTGAATGATTTGTTTGTGTTACGAATTGACTTTATTGTGTTTTTAATTTTATAAGTTTTAATTCATTAATTATTAATGTTGGAGCATTTTAGAAAGTGGGGAGAAAATGGCTCAAAATAAATATTTACAAAATAGGAAAAAAATAATGCTCAAAAATAAATTTTTAAAGAAAAAAGTTTAATCCGCAAACCGCCCGCACATCCGCGAACCCTATCCGCACAAACCGCAAATCACACTGTGGGCGGTTGCGGGCTATCTTTTTCCCAAACTGCATAGATACGGGCAGGTCCGAACCGATCCGCAAACCGTCTAAGTCCGAACCGTGAACACCCCTAGGATGCAGAAGATGTGGTTTGTGGGCAAGTGGCGGAGAGGGTTGAGATCTTGTGTGTTCACTGTTATGTTCCCAATTTTGGTAAATAGTATTCCAAAAGGCTTCTTTCCAAGTTAAAAAGAGTTCGAGACAGAGGAGTGGTATGGAATCCGATGTTTAGGAGGGCTTTAGCAGATTCTATGGAAGCTATTTTTGAATGTCCACATGAGTCAAGGGGTTAGGGGGAACTAAACAATATACCTTGGTTTGGCATATATTGAAGAATGAGAAATTCTGTCTGCTCATTTTATCAGGATTTGTGTTGCAGAATTAGCAGCCACTTTAAAAACCAATTGGACATTTTGGGGTTGTAGATAGGCAGGAAAAGAGGACGTGATTGATGTAAAATTTGTATAACCAAGTGAGTAGTTTTAATACATTTAGACACCTCAAAAGTTATTTTAGGCATACTAATATTAAACCTCAAAAACAAGATGACACAGTTTCTGGTATAAATTAGCCAATTTTAGCCGAAAAAGCTAACCCATCAATCTCAAAAAACTAAGAAAACAAGGATGTTTGTGATACATAAGCATCAAACAAGAGCAATAAACACCAAAAGTGACTGACAATTCTTCATCTTCACAATTGAATCCTATGAACACATAACAGTTCAGAAAGTATACCAAATAAAGCTAGTGGCCCAGTAATAGTTGAAGAAAAGGAGCAAACGAGTATTCATAAAGACCAAAGGTTCAAAAAGTATCCTGATGGCAGGACAGCACTGTGAGGAGTTCATAGCTGAATTTATGTGAGCTGTTATAGCGGTTTCAAGCTGAAAATCAATGAGAATTCCAGAGTTTCAATTAATGAATGGAATGAACTAGGTTTAAGGTTGATAAAACGGGAGAAAAGAGATCAAAACAGGGGCTGTTTAGGAGTTGTGAACAATAGCTCGTGAACTAAACCACAAAAGAAGAAGAAGAAGACTAGTTTCTAGGAATCACTCCTAGGGACATAGGCATCACAGAGGGTTTGATTGCATCACATTCCATAAGAAAGCTTCAAAGCTCTTGAAATTCTCTCAAATATCAACTCTATTATATACAAAATATTACATGACTTTATATAGAACTGGAAGACTTCCAAAACTAACTAAAATTCCAAAATAGGAAACTACTAAAATTTTGACTTCCAAAACCAATTCAAGACCAAATAAGAAACATAAATAAAAAATAATTAAATAACTTGACTTACAAGATGACTGACCCATGAGCAACCCCTACAGCCCATGTCAACAAATGTAAAAATTACCAAAATACCTCTGACATAAAAATCATAGAAAACATAAAATAAAACTCTAATAATACGAGAAGCATAATCCTAGAAAACATAAAAACAATCATAAAATACAACTCTAATAATACTAAAAACATGATTATGTATGGTTTCTATCAAGTTTTCTTTGAAATAATGTCAATTTCCAAATATTGTCGCTTCTTTGAATTTACTCTTCTTTGAGCTTACTTGTACTCTACATCATATCCCCTTTACAATATTCTCTTCTCTTTTTTTTTTTTATCAACATATTCTCTTATTAAGAAGAAAAACTCAACTTGTAAGGGAAATAGTTATTTTGTCACATGTAAATTGTAATGTTGAAGTAGCAACTGAATTGCAAACTATTTAGAAGAAAATGAAACAAGTAAAAGGTACATCTAGTTGTGAAGGAGCTCACTCAGAAAAGATATGTAAAGGTTGAAACACATTTTGGTGAAGGAAGAAGATTCTACCAGAGAGAATCTTAACACCAAGTTCTTGTTTTTGTGTATCCACCACTCGAATAACAATAACAAGCTAATAAAATAATTCAACAGGAACTACAAACAATATAAAACAGGGAAAAGAAACCAGTTGGAGAGGGGGTGGAGAGAGCACAAGCTGCACAACGGAAACTAATTCCATGGCTTGAAACCTCGGGAAAACTAATAGCAAGAAATGAAAATAAACTAGTACATAATAAATAAAAGAAAATGGAATACCTTTTCGATGCTGCAATCTTTCAAGGAGAGAATGCAGTTGCTCCTTGATAACAGAATAGACAGGTGTAGGGCAGTATACAGAACTCTGAAACAACTGCTGACACTTTATCTTCTGCCATGAAAGAAATCCAGGTAATACTTTCCCTTCAATTTTCTCCAAAGCTTTTGCTGCCTCCAAATGTAGATTTCCATCAAAGATGATCAAGGCTCTCATGAAAGAATCCTTGGGTTTTGGTGGGAATACCTGGACTCGTACACAATTACTGTGGGGGTTCCTCTTAGGCATAAAGGGTGATATTTCTCTGAGAAGTGCTTCTTCACAAGTAGCACATGGAGGATTTTCTACAGAGTCCCCTCTCACCAAGAAAAAGTCCAATATTGTCCTACCAGTTTCAGTCCTTAATACATCTAAAATTTCAGCTTCAGAAAGCCCTTTATCGAGTCCACTTAACATAATACTGTCTGCGGACTTCATGCTAGCTGCACAGCGTACATACTTTCCTCCAATTACCAAGTTAGAGAAATCATTAACCACATAATCAATATCCTGCCTGTCACATTTGACAAATGCAAACCCCTTACTACACCTGCGTGGCCAATAAACTTTTGCTCTAACAGCAGCAAATGAGTGCATTTTATGATCACCTCCAAAGCTCCGTGAAGGAATTATCTTCAATGAGGCACCATTGAATTCAACTGGATTCAACTCAGCAGCTTTCTTAGCAGCATCAGGTGTAAGAAATGTTATCCTCCCCCACTTTTCCTTCTCATCACTATCTTGTCCACTGCCTGTGAATTTTTGGACTGCACAAATACTACCAGAGCTACTTCTCTCCAAAAATGTCAAAAGCTCCTTATCATCAACAGCATTCACGTCTGAAAGAAACACATCAACAGTCAAACATCTCTTTTCGAGCTCCAGATGCTTTATCTCTGCACCAGCTCCAAACAAAGCAACAGAAGGTGAGAGACCAAGTCCTCCATGATATAAGCATTTCTCCATACATTCATTCTGCAACCATTTTCTTTCATACTCCAAAATGTCATTTGCGAGGCTACAAACCTTCTCCATGTCTTTTGAAGAGGCAAATAATCGAATTTCATTCTGGTCAACATTAACTTCAATGGCAATCCGTGCATCCATACAAGCTGTTCTAATGCATGAAACAAGATGAAGGAGATTATGGTTAGACTTTCCGCAGAATTTCTTTAATAGTGTACAGCCGAAACCGGTCAAAACCCTCATTTGGAGCTTCTGACTCTCCATCTTGGAGAAATCAAACAGAGGAGGAGGGCAAAGGGTAGACAAATATTCGTAATCAAAAGCAGTTACACAGACCAAATACTGATTGGATATGGATAGGATATCACCAAAAACTACCCAACTTGGCCTCTGACCAAAGATTAGCAATGAACATGAAGGATGTAACTGGAAATGCTTTCCAGTTAATGCAACCTCATAACCAAGGTGATCATATCCTGAATACATAGCTATGTTCTCTGCAAGGGAAGAGAGTATAGCATTTTTCAAATGTTTATCAAGCTCAGTACACACCTGCGGATTCCAACGCCAGTAGCTTGGAATAATAAGATTAAGCTCATTTTGAAGACATGTTTCCCATTCAGAGACTGTATCTTGGCATCTCCGAATGGATTTGGCATTTATGCTATTCTCCCAACACCACTTATTTTTCTTTTCTTGGGGCACACTCTCCCATTCCTTATAAACGGAGAGCAGAGTGAAGAGGTCACCATAGTGATGGCAAAACTGCACCTTAAGACAGTCAGATTTAAGCTTATCTTCTTCATTACCGACTCTGCAAAATATGCTATTGGCATTTGCCATAACAGCAGCAAGAACAACGCCCTCTTTACCCAATTGGTTGTCAAAGCATTGAAGAATCATTTTCCCCAGCCGAGGTTCGATACCCAATCTAACCAATTTCAGTCCATCCTTGGTTAATTCCAACACATCATTCTTCAATACAACAGCTCCTAATTGAATAAGATTTCTAATGGCCATATCAATAGCAGTCACACTAGGTGCATCAACAAAATCAAAACTCTGTACATCTTTCATGCCCAAAGCAAGAATCCTTAGAACTGCTACACCAAGATGAACCCTACGAATCTCAGGTTCCTGATGACAAGGCATCAAAACAAAATCATATTCTGAATAAAGTCTATAACACCTTCCCGGTTCAGTTCTCCCAGCACGACCAGCTCGTTGGTTCGCGGAACTCTGGCTGATCCTGCAAACTTTGAGCACATTCATACCAGTACCAGGTTCAAACCTACTCTCTTTCACCATGCCAGAATCAACCACGTACTTCACCCCTGGAATTGTCAATGATGTCTCAGCAACATTGGTGGCAAATATAACTTTTCTTTTACCTGGGTAATCAAGAAAGACACGCTGATCTTCATAGGAAAGTTTTCCATGTAAAGCTAATGCAACAACAGAGGGATCTTCGAACTTTTCACAAGCCCATTCTGCTTCCATCTGAGAAGTTAAGAAAGCAAGAATCGTCCCATCTTTCTCTTTTCTATGGATCTCAGTCACCATCCTCACAACATCAGAAGCATATGAGGCAATATTAGCAGAATCAGAAGTTCCTTCAGATGCACAAGGGACATATATGATATCAACTGGAAAGTTTCTGCCCACCACCTGAAAGGTTCCACAACCAAAAAAATACTCTGCAAGCTGGTGTGCATCAGCTGTTGCAGACATTATGACAAGCCTCAGATCAGGCTTCTGACGAAGTAAATTTTTTATCAATGCTAAAAGTAGATCAGTGTTTAAGCTTCTTTCATGAGCCTCATCAACAATGATACATGAAATCCCAGATAAATTCTCATCTTTCATGTAGTGCTGCAATAAGCAATGGTCCGTCATGTATATTACCTTGGAATTGAACTGCTGTGAAGATGAATATGTTGGATAAGATATGACTGAATTATCATGATAACACCCACAACTTTCCTCTTGAACTCTTTGAGCCAATGAGATAGCTGCAAGTTTGCGCGGCTGAGTGCATATAATGGACTCATTCCCAGCTACTTCTGAATCAGCAAGAAACTGAACCAACTGTGTACTCTTCCCTGAACCAGTTTCTCCAATCAATACCAATACCTGTTCAAATAGAAATTTTAAAATTTCAAAAATAATAATATAAAGAAGAATGAAAGAAACCCCCACCAGGTCTCCAATCAACACCATTAAACCATGCAAATAGCAATTGAAAACAAAACAAAACAAAAAATAAGTACATATACATCTAACACCAGAAAATTAAAGACTGGAGAGAGCCGTGAAGCCTCAATTGAAATTACTACTATCCATGCAGATGCACAAAAGCGTGAACTAATAAAATATACAGGAAAACAATTCAACAGCCATAAGCGCGAAAAAAGCAAACCAAAAAATTGGAATAAGAGATGGGGTGGCGATTTCCCTCCTTGTTCAAATTCAAGGACCATGATTAGTGCACCATCACTCAAATTGACAGTTAGAGGTTGGAGAAACTACAACAATTCACAAGTGAAAAAGTAAACCACTCTGATATGGCCAATGTGACCCACGTCTGTTGAAGGTTCAAGTTTAAAGTTTTTCAAGAAAGACAAAATTGATTTGATTCTAAAAGCACTTATTTCACGCAAATAACTCCAAAAAATTATCTCTACTATTACTACACACTATACTGGCAAACAGTCCCTTTTTCTAACTGAACTAGATTGTCATGTTCTCGATGTTCTTATCACAATAACCCAGCCACAAACAGTCGACTAGCAATAGCAATAACAAGAGCAATAAAACTCAATTAACATTTAGCAGAGAACAAGAAAGACAGAAAATCACCTGTTGGTTATAGATTCTAAAAGCACTTGTTTCATGCAAATAACTCCAAAAAATTAGCTCTGCTATTACTACACACTATACTGGCAAACAGTCCCTTTTTCTAACTGAATTAGATTGTCATGTTCTCGATGTTCTTATCACAATAACCCAGCAATAAACAGTCGACTATCAATAGCAATAACAAGAGCAATAAATCTCAATTAACATTTAGCAGAGAACAAGAAAGACAGAAAATCACCTGTTGGTTATAGATTTCTGTAAGTATTTCCTGACGACAGGCATAAATTGGCAAGCCATCCTCCAATCGGCGACACTCCCTCCTTATCAGGCAATGAATCCTAACCCATTCAAATGGTCTTCTAAACCTAAACAACTCCACACCGTCGCAGCTTGCTAGTGTCCCTTCAAGGTGATTAAGAATAGTCGTCATTGAAGATTTAAATTCTTCAATCCTCTTCTCAATCAAGCTCTTTTCAGAATCCAACCCAGCCTTCTTCATCAAAAGCTCTTCGCAAACATTAATCCGATTAAGCTTTCGAAGCAAAGCCACAACGCCGTCAATCTCCTTCATCACGAGCCCCAGCTTCTTTTGCCACTTCTGGACCAAATCCCCTTCCATCAATTGCAAGACACGATCGGTGAAGAGAGCTCTGAGTCGATCCCTAAGCTTGTTCATGTCGCAGGGACTCGGCATGAGACACGGGGTTAACAAATGAACACCATCGAGTCGAATTTCCCAAAAATACACAGTGGTTTCGAGTGCGTCAATCCACCGGCGAAAATACAATCTCGCGGCAACAGAACCGAAGGAGAGAACATCAAAACCCTCTGGTTTATACTTGCATTTGGAAATTAAGGCCTCGACATTGGCCTTGTTGAACCCCCGACCATCGGAACGAAGCTCGACACTGAATTTGGAGCAACCTGGAGGGCGATCGCGCCAGTTATTCGGAGTGAACTGGGGTCTCCACTCCTGATACGGCCGGAAATTCGCGTGAACGAGGCCCCGCGGGGCCATGATAGGCGGCGAACAGCCACCGCCGCCGTGCCTGGCTGTGGTGGGGGGACGAGCTCTGTTCATTGGGCGCATTAGAGCGAGAAATCCAAAACCCTAGACAACAGTGAGAGTGAGAGAGAGAGAGAGAGGGAGAGAACGGAGAGAGAAAGTAGTAAAGGCGGCGAGACCGATAGCAATATATAGAGAGAGAGGTGGTGTACAGGAGACGGTAAACGGGGGGTCTCTCCGCTTGTCAGGGAAGCGTTTGATTTGCGGCTTTTTTTTTTTTTTTTTTTTTTTTTGACATGTTTGGGCCGTGTGTGTGTGAGAGAGAGAGAGAGAGAGAGAGAGCGCATCGTCTGGCGCGCTTTTAATAACACAATCCCATAATAAAGCTCAAGAGCATCTCCAAATCTGAATTAAAGTCCATTAAATTTGAATAAAAAAATAATTTTTTTTTCAATATGATACTAAGGTCAAGTTTAGGTATTTTCAAAAAAATTAAAAAGTCAAAAAATTATTCAAAAAGTTAAAAAGTTAATACTATTCACCAAAAGTCAATAATTACGGCTGCACAACTTCCAATTCAAATTTTTTCCTACAAATCAATTTTTACAATTTTTTATTACATATTTTTCAATAAAAAGTCAAAAAGTAACCCAAACATCCATATTTTCAACCTCACATTTTTAGTCCAAAAAGTACACTTTTTTAGTCTTCCCAAACTTGGCCTAAGTGTTCTAACGGTTAATTTTTATCAAATCTATGCTGGGATAACCGGTTGGTCGACCGACCGGCCAACCACCCGGTTGACTGGTTAAGTCAAAAAAAAAAAAAAAATTTAAACTTTTTTAACCTTTTAGTGGTCGACCGGTAAGACAAAAAAAAATTTTTTTTTTTTAACTGTTTGACCTTTTTTTTTGAACTGTTTAAACCTTTTGGTGGTCGACCGATTGGTTGACCGGTTGGTCTCCCCCAACGGTCATGCACAGTGTTTTGATGAAATGCGGAGCCTGTCCTCATTTTGGTGAAACGTTTGGTGAAATCTCGATTTGATATCAATTTAGTAAAACCGTTGGAGCATGAAAAAGTACTTTTTTCACCAAATTTGGTTCAGGATTGGAGATGGTCTTAGAATTAAATTTAGGATAAATTACGTCGACACCCTTGAGGTTTATATTTATTACAATTTCTTTCTCACTTTTTAGAAATTACATCTCTCTCCTTAAGATTTAAAGTTTCATTACAGATTCTCCCCTTTAGCAATTTAATTTTTTTAAATACAAATTTTGTCCTCACTAAGCAAATTACATTGACACTCCTCACATTTTAGAAATTATAATTCTCTCCCTATGGTTTAAAGTAACGTTACCAATTGTCCCCTCGGTTAGTATTAATTGAAAAATAAAAATTTATTGACAAAAGAAAAAATAATTGGAAAAAAATTATTTGAAAAAAAAATAATTGAAAAAAAAATTTGTTAGTAAAATTTTTAAATTTTTGTTTAAAAATAACATAAACTCATTTTTTGAATTTATGTTTTTTCTCAATTTACAAATTGAAACAACCATTTATAAACCAAAAAAATTATCAAACAAATTTTTATGATAGTTTTTTAAATTTTTATAAATATAAATTGAAAACTAAAAACGAAATGGTTGTCAAACAGGCCTCATATGGTAAAAATGTCGTAAAATTAACAAATAATTAAATAAGTTACCAAAGTAAGAAATGACTTATCAAAAGATTCTTAGTCTATGTATGGTTTGATTTTTAGAAATTTTTTTAAAAAATTAAAAATTAATTTGCTTAAGAAATAAAAAATAAACAATAATTATCATTTTCATAATAATAATAATAATAATTGGTAAATTCAACTGATTGTAAATTTTCAGTTTAATAATAATTATCATGGTAATAAAAAAAATGAGTTTACGTTGAGGAAAAATGAAAATAATAATCATTTTCAACTGAGAATGATAATAATAAATAAAATAAAAGTTGGTCTCCCCCAACGGTCATGCACAGTGTTTTGATGAAATGCGGAGCCTGTCCTCATTTTGGTGAAACGTTTGGTGAAATCTCGATTTGATATCAATTTAGTAAAACCGTTGGAGCATGAAAAAGTACTTTTTTCACCAAATTTGGTTCAGGATTGGAGATGGTCTTAGAATTAAATTTAGGATAAATTACGTCGACACCCTTGAGGTTTATATTTATTACAATTTCTTTCTCACTTTTTAGAAATTACATCTCTCTCCTTAAGATTTAAAGTTTCATTACAGATTCTCCCCTTTAGCAATTTAATTTTTTTAAATACAAATTTTGTCCTCACTAAGCAAATTACATTGACACCCCTCACATTTTAGAAATTATAATTCTCTCCCTATGGTTTAAAGTAACGTTACCAATTGTCCCCTCGGTTAGTATTAATTGAAAAAAAAAATTTATTGAAAAAAGAAAAAATAATTGGAAAAAATTTATTTTAAAAAAAAAAAATTGTTTAGTAAAATTTTTAAATTTTTGTTTAAAAATAACATAAACTCATTTTTTGAATTTATGTTTTTTCTCAATTTACAAATTGAAACAACCATTTATAAACCAAAAAAATTATCAAACAAATTTTTATGATAGTTTTTTAAATTTTTATAAATATAAATTGAAAACTAAAAACGAAATGGTTGTCAAACAGGCCTCATATGGTAAAAACGTCGTAAAATTAACAAATAATTAAATAAGTTACCAAAGTAAGAAATGACTTATCAAAAGATTCTTAGTCTATGTATGATTTGATGATAATTATTTTTTTATTTTTTATTTCTTAACCAAATTAATTTTTAATTATTAAAAAAAAAATCTAAAAATCAAATCATACATAGCCTAAGAATCTTTTGATAAACCATTTTTTACTTTGATAACTTATTTAATTATTTGTTAATTTTACAAAAATTTTATCATCTGAAGCCTGTTTGGTAACTATTTCGTTTTCAGTTTTCAATTTATATTTACAAAAATTTTAAAACTGTCATAAAAACTTGTTTGATAATTTTTTTAGCTTATAAATTGTTGTCTCAGTTTGTAAATTTGAGGAAAAAACGTAAATTAAAAAAATGAGTTTATGTTGTTTTTAAACAAAAATTTAAAGATTTTACTAACAAAATTTTTTTTCAATTAATTTTTTTTCAAATAATTTTTTTCCAATTATTTTTTTTTTCAATGAATTTTTTTTCTAAGTAATACTAACCGATGGGGCAATTGGTAATTCTACTTTAAACCTTAAGGAGGGGATTGTAATTTCTAAAATGTGAAGGGTGTCACTGTAATTTACCCAGTGAGGGCAAAATTAGTATTTAAAAAAATTAAATTGCTGAAAGGAGGAATCTGTAATGAAACTTTAAATCTCAATGAGGGAGATATAATTTCCAAAAAGTGAGAGGGGAATTGTAATAAACATAAACCTCAGGGAGTGTCAATGTAATTTATCCTTAAATTTATGTAGAGTGATGTTTTGAAAAGTTAGTAAAAAGTTAATTTTTTGAATTTTTTAATTTATTTTGTCTTTTTATAGGTAAAAAAATATGAGAGGTAATGTGATTTAAAATAGATAAAAAACTAAAAGCTGACTTTTTTTTGCTTTCCAAAAATCCCATGATAATAAATTGGTGGTGCTACATGCACCAATTAGTGTGCTAACTAGTGTACCAATACTAGTTATGACATTATTATTGACTATGCTCATTAATTACATTATAAATATCAAAAGTCTTTTAAATTATATCACATTATCAATTGATATACTAGTTAGTAGTCTAATAAATGTATATAGCATTATTCATAATAAATTATTTTAAAAAGTAAGTTAAAAGTTAATTTTTAATTTTTTAAAATATATATATATATATATATAAATGATATGATCAAAAAAAAAATTAAAAAGTTAAAAGAAAAAAAAAGGGCCAAGTTGCCCAAATGGCCCAATGTGATAAAAGATAGACATTATACAATTGAGTAGGTGATAAATTTTAATCTGTACTATATTATAGGGTAAATTACACTAATAGTTCTTATAGTTTGGGGCTTGTTTCACTCTAGTTCGTGACTTTTCAATTGTGACACATTTGACCCTGAATTTTGAATCTTATTCCAAATAAGGACAATTGAAGATATCATTCGATTTTTCAAAGGTAAAATCATCAATTTGGTAAAATATAAACTACTTTGACAAAAATAAATATCAAACAAATATTTTTGAATTTTTTAAAATTACTACTATTCACTAAAAATAAAATTATGTAAAATTGATAAATCTTTTAAATATTTTTTTTTACCAAATTAATTTTTATTATGTGTTTGGATGATGGTCATATAAAATTAATTTTAAAAAATTAATCATGTAATTTTTATTAATTTTTATCAATTTTACATAATTTTATCATTGGTGGATAAAAATAATTTTGAAAAAATTAAAAATATTTTTTTGACATTTATTTTTGTCAAATTAGTTTATATTTTATTAAATTAACGATTTTGCCTTTAAAATTAAACAATGGTATCTTCAATTGTCCTTAATTGGAACAAAATTCAAAATTCAAAGTTAAATGTGTCACAATTGAAAAGTCAAAGACCAAAGTGACACGAGTTTCAAACTATAGGGACTATTTATGTAATTTGTCCTATATTATATCATTATAAATAAAATTATGAGAAATTTTTATTATGAGTTTTGATCATTTTCCAAAACTCTAGTATTGCACAATTAACTTTATTTGATAATGTTTTGTTTCTTGATGCTTTTGCTTGTTTTCTAACCACAAAAAATTAAAATTAAAAATTGAAATAAAGAGATATTAGTAGACTGTTTACAGTTTCAAAACAAATAAAAGTATTTTTCAAAATTTACAAATTTTTAGTAATTAAGAAAAAGTGTTTTTGCTTCTTTTTTTTTAAGATTTAATCCTTCTTAAGTGGTAGAGGAAAATCAATATATGAAAATATAAGTCATTTTCAACTACACAAGCATGCAAGGGTTCGAGTTATTAACCGGATTGGGCTAATTTACTATCCATAAATTGTAAGATTTTAGTGTTTATAAATTTGGTAAACATGCATACAAGTTTATAATTCACATTTATATTTGGAGAACAATGCAATATCTAGCCATAATCCATAAATTTTCTTATAATTTATAGTGGTATAGAAAGAAAAAAAGAAAAAGAAAAGAAAGTTCATAAAATTCACTGGTGCGAGATGCCAAACAAATTGTTAATTCCATTACTTGTGTCAAAGATACCTATTAA